CGCGGCGTGTATCAAAAAAAGCTACACCATAGACTTGTGCACAAACCCGATGCTGCACAGTGCTACACGTGAGTCAGACATGTCAGAGGAAAGCGTGCCATAAAGTTTTGCGGGTGTTCTGTTCTAAGCGTGCGCAGATATGTGATGCTTTCGCAGCGTACCTGTGAACTTCTGCTTGTTAATGCGCATGCTCAGTTCTGCAGCCGTGTAGCGGTGCTATAAGGAAGACCGTGTGGATTCGGCTGTCTGATTTCTGGCTGCATACTGTATGAGTCTATCACCCTCCCAAACCCTTCAAATTTGGCAAATTTATGTCCAGGGAATCAGCTGGGTCCAAATTGGACTTTACCCCATAGAATAAAAACATGTTTGTATTTTCAATTAAAGGGGTAATTTGCCTTTGTTTTTTGGGGACTTACAGTACCACCAGTTTTGCAAGATTAAAATAATAAAAAACTGGGGGGTCCCCAAGTATAGAACCCCCACACAAATGAAATAGTAATCAGGTCGGGGACCAAACCACAATCTAGCGACATCCTTAGTTTCTGCTTATGTCGCTAGTTCAAGCGGCAATGACGTCAGTTTCATCAGGTCACGTGATAATGATGTAATTTTCCCACACGATTTTGGGCAAATAACGAGATTTGAAACGCCGGCAGCCAACATGGCCGCCTTTGCCGTTACCGTTGGAGTCATGGCAAAATTGTTTCTGATCACTATTTGGAAAATCGCCACTGTAAACATAAAATCTGCCACAGTGAATCGATGGAGATTTATAATGGCAACATTTTCATGCATAATGTAAACTTTGGCAAAGCTTCATTTTTTCGCGTTCAAACATTTTTGTCGGCAAAGTTGGACTCACCTGCCCACCAAATTTGGCACATCCAGAACAAGATTTGACTGAAAAATATCTTTGATCCCCTTTTATAGATACCAAATGAAAGGAAAGATTGTAGGTCAACTCGACCGTTTGCCAACTCGACTCGAGTCAACTTGACTCCTGACCAACTCGACCGTTGATCAACTCGACTGTTGAACCAACTCGTCCGTTGACCGACTCAACTTCAAAGTCGAGTCAACTCGACCATTTACCAACTCGACCGTTTGCCAACTCGACCGTTTACCAACTCGACCACATGATTGATACATGGGTTTATTAGACAAACTTTTTCCTTAAAAAATAGATATCAAAAGGGGAAAAATAAAGATCGGATCGGTTCCAGATCACGAAAATTATGGATGCTAATTTCGGCTCAATGAACCCAAGAAATCAACGGAAATGCAATCAATAATTGAACTTGTGCCAATGAGATACTCAAAAATAATTTTCCTAATTTGAGAAGCACGCACGATTGAACCCCCCGAAATCTGTCACCACACTGTGCGCATGCACAGATCACATCACGCATAGTAAAACGAATTACACACGCGATCCAGAACTGGGAAAAATGCGTTCCTTCCATGCCCAGTCCCTGTTGCACCGTTTGCACGGTTGGGTTGGTCGAGAGTTGAGTTAACCTTTACGGTTGAAGGAACAACAGTCGAGTTGGTTGATGATCGAGTTGGTCGAGAGTCGAGTTGACTCAAGTCGAGTTGACAAACGGTCGAGTTGTGTTTTATTTAGATCTTGGCTGGCATGTTTCCTGTAAATTTGATCAATCAGAGGAATTGGTTTTGAAGTTTCTGGCCGACAAAGAGATCGATATTATCTGTGAACCGTGATCTAAAAATAGTTCAAAAATTACGTCATCGTTGCACAAATGAGCGGCGTATGCATAGTCTGGTGTCGGCGCTAGTTTGAGGTTTGGTCCCCGACCAAATACTGTAGTTTGCACAAATATAAACATGATAAACTGGCCAGTAAAATTTACATATTCTGACAACCTTTGTGCAAACTGGTGCAAAGAATTTGCACCAGATGCATTAAAGCCAGAATTAAAGCCAGAATTGGTGTGTGCAACGTATTGTCATAGATACCAGATACATGCAGGCCATTCATGGGGGCCCTTCATCGTTTCATGTCTTACAAATTATAATGTACATGATGGTCCCATGTACGAGCTGGATGATTTGGTCGTCATTTACCTTAATATCTTCTTCTCGGGGCTCTGTTTTCACCAGGATTTTTTCCTCCGAGTCAGAAGAATTCTTCTGTGCATCCATGGTTAGTCGTCTCTTCTATCATATGTACCACTATCTAGTAACTATGTTGGAAAAATATTATTTTTTCACCGACTTTCCGGACTGTCACTTGCCATTTTCTGATTCACATTTTCCATTTTCAGTAAACAAGTGTTTGTTTGAAAGGTCCCTTCTCCAGTAATGTTGTAGCTCTTACGGCGCGCGGCGCGCGCGCCGACATTATTTTCTTTAAATTTGGAGCTCGATGAAACTTATTGCATTCCTAGTTGGGCCCCAAAAATTCGTATTTGGACCATTCAAAATAAACGTTATTTCCAGGTGTTTTTGTGGATTTGCGAACCCCCAAGAGCACACACAGTGCACAACACACTCGTCGAATTCGCGGCTAGCACTGGTTCTCCTCATTTTGCTCGTTTTTCCATTGAGTTCTTCCTGGGAACCAGCACCATATGGCAGGTCATAGATCACATGCACATTATGCTTACTACTACTATACTGTACTGCGTATAACTTGTATTGAAAACTTCGTCGGTCATGTCGGTGACGGGAAATATCTGCTGGCAAAATCGGACGAAATTTCCGCATATTTGAATGATTTGCAACCATGTGATTCACAACGTCGAACGCTTTGCTCACACGGAACTAAACAGTAATGGCAATTGCCAGAGATAAAGAACTGTTCATCGGAGACGAGCTTTCTGCGAGTTCGTTACGGGATCTCCAACTGCGATTCCCCGAAATTCCCACAGATGTCGTTTCCTCTTTCCTGAAAAAGGTACACCTTCTCATTGCACCAGTTTCGTGATTTTTGTGACCACTTTTGATCGTTTTATCACATCAGTTGAAGGCGTCGATTTTAACAAGCAATGATAGTTTTCTAAGTTAGGGCCTACAATGCAGCTAAATATACAAAGAAAAAAACAAGAACAATAGATTTGGCTTTTGTTGTAAGATTGCAGTGGATTTTATCACATGCATGATGTGTCATTGTATTTCTCTCTCCGCACTCTTTATTTAGTAATGTACTGAGTCATTTTTGTGCTATTATTGGCTCACCTTCCACATTTTAATTTTGTTCCTTTTGTATTTGTTTGCATTTTTTGTGGGAAATTTCATGTAATTCATTTTGTCAAATGTTGATGTTTAAATTACATAGTGATGTACAGTGTTGTTGAACATTGATATCAATGATAAAACATGACTTCAAGTGTTTTTTGAAAGAATTCCATATAGGCCTAGACTTTATTCAAGGAATTGCCTATACAGATGCTACCAGTTTTTCTCTGCAGTTGCCTATATGACAACAATATGTCCTAAAATGTCAAATTTAGCGATGAAAATATCAAGGACTAGTAGGCCTAGTTACAGAAAAAAACACTTAAAAGTTTCAGACTGGTCTCCTTTTTTCCCACAGTGACCTGTTAGCCATCTAAAAGCAATATATAGTCCTAAAAAGTCAAATATTCCATTGAAAATTGAAGTACAGTTATTTACTTCAAAAACAAGTGGAATTTTTCAGACCTGTCTCATAGTGTTTGTACACAGGGTGTCAAGTGGCATCCGTGTGGAATTCTCTGTTTATTTTTCGATGTCATGACATTACGTGTACCTTGTAGGCTTACTGGTACTGGTGTGTGAAACTGATAAAGATGATTCCAGAAATATGGGTCCAAAAGTGTGACATTCTTGTGTCTCTGTAACATCTGACCTTTGTTATTGACATGGAAATATCAAACTACAATGTATCACTATTTGTTTGGCCCGTAATTTGGATTAATTCATCACTCTGAAAAAATTGAAAATGCGTTCTGAACTTACAAGCTCATAAGTCAGATGTGACTGGGACATTTAAAAAAAAATGGACCCCTAATATTGGGAATTACCCATACACGTAGTTTCATTTTTGAACAGATTTCCAGTACTTTTTGAGTGTTTTTCTAGTAACTTAAGTGGATATTTCACAATTAAATTGATGCGAGTCTTCAGTTTCATGTCATGAAATAAACATTTCCCAGAGAACTACATATATCGTGGAAAAGCTATGTACCCCATTTTGTCAAAATATCAAAAAATAACATGAAGAAAGTTTGTCTCAGTCTCATCATGAAAAACGGAATCTGTGTGGAAATCTAACACATAGTACGTAACATTGTACTTGTTAAGTACATTTGCAGACATCCAGTGTTCTAACCATGGTGGGCGGCACCGGGCGGAACCACCCGGTATTGTAAATTTCCACCTGGCACTTGGGTTCAAATTGACTTTGCCGCCCAACACACATTTTCCAAAAAATTTACTGAGATATTGCTGAAAATGTACCAATTTGATCATATCTTAAGCTTACAAAGTCTTAGTTTTGCACTATTTTGCAATTTTAAACAAATACGTAAAGACCTAAGAAATATATTTCTCATTTTGTCTGTGTCAAATCAGCAGCTGATTGCGAAAGCATTATTGCAAACATGCCTTCACGCTGATGTAAGGGGATATCCCTTCTGGAATTCCCCTAAAAACCCATCTGTGGGCTGCGAGATCCAAAAATTCACCCGGCACTAAAATGGTCTAAGCTAGGGCACTGCAGACATCTGTGTACCAAATTTTGCAAGCAGTGTTGACTTTTTAAAAGTTCCAACAGTATTTTGGTGAAAAAATAATGACTTTCTTTATGATCGCATGACAGATGCTAACTTGCATGAAAGTGTCATCAGGTTGTGAAAAAGAACCGCTTTACATAGTTTTCCAGCCATTTCAAAATAGTCTGACTACAGTTTTTGGCTTTGTTTTCTTGTGTGGTTCAACTCACTTTAGAATGGAGGCAACATGAGTCGCTGTATTGAAGAGCTTGAACACGCTAGCCCGTCCTACATGTACGGTGAATTTGTCAGCCACGATACCCCTGCCCATGAAGATCAGATGACACAAAACACCCCACCGAGAACAAGAGTCGGTGCAGCAGCTTACCCATCTCAGTTTTACTCCCCAGAGCGTGGGGTGCCGGTGCACGCACCCAATACAGACCTGTATTACCCCCAGGGTTTTCACCATATGAGGGTCGAGGATCCCGAAAGGACACCCCAGCCAAGCTACACCAGTTGGGCATCCTTGGAAACCGGGGTTCCCGGCTTGGAAATGCCAGTCGAAACCCGGCAGAATCCACTAAGTGTTGCTGCGGAACAGAGGCATGTGACTTCATGCACATTAGATATACAGAAACCGCCTCTGAGGACAGTGAGCGCACCCAATGCTGAGATTGGGCAGAGTGGTAGCCCAGTGCCAGTGGGTTCCCGCTATGCTGAAGGGGATGCCCTGCTCAGGCAGTCCAGCCATGCCAGCAGTCTGTATGGGAGGACGACGGCCAATGGCTTGGAGCAAAGGATGGACCCGAAGGACTTCCCCTTTGAGCCACGTCCTTCCTGGCAGGAGGACCCCCAGCCATTTGCCATGGCTGGCCATGAAGCTGTCGGCGACAGGTGGATGCCATCTCAGCCGAAGGTCAGGCCCACGGAGTCAGGCTCGGGCATCCAGATTGCCACCTCTTACCAGCTTGACCCCTTGCAGCCGTCCAGCCCAGCCACCAAGCCTCGTAAAGGCAAACCGAGTCCCTCGTCATCGGCGGTAGCATCGTACAGCAAAGCGACAGAGAAAATCTCGTTCAACCCAAACCTCTCTAGGACACCTGCTCAGGAGCCTTTGAGAGCTTCCTCAATGCCCAACGATGGGGCTGCAGCTCACCAAACGGCAGCCAACCTATCAGGCACAAGTTTGGGCGGGGGGGAGCCTGATCCTCCCAAGAGGAAGGAGAGATCAAAACGGAAGGATGCCAATCTTGCTCCTCCAAGTCTTCAACAAGAAAGATCAGCATCCAAAGAAAAAGAAGATCAGGCCTACACAGAAGGTATGTAACTGTAAGGTAATTGTTTCGGTGCTTTGTGAAGTTAGCTACGATCAGTCAGGCACACGTGTACTTGACCCAAATCCTGCAAGATGCAATCTGTGGGCAGTTGCAATGTGCTCTGTGTCAGGTTGAACAGACCCAATCAACTTCAACATTAACCCTAACTCCCAGGCCCTCTTTGCTAGGGACCCTCCTCAGTCCTCCAAACTCCTCCAATTTTGGGGGTGAAAAAATTGGATTCTCTCTCACTCCTTCGAAATTCCTCCAAAATGTTTTGAAAATGTTACATGGAGGTGTGCCGACTGCCTCAATCCATCAAAATCCTCTGGCAGTTTCTGTCATTATGTTGAGGCAGTGTGAATGGCATTCTTGAGCAGTGCGGTTAATTAAAAAATATCAGGCTGAATTTATGCATGACTAAGCACAAGCAACACAAAGTCTAACCCATGACCTTCATGCATAACATCCTTCACAAACAAACATACACTTTAGCCAGTCACCCTCAATCCTCCAAAACCGCCCGAAGGATTTTGGAGGGTTGAGGAGGGTTAGGGTTAATACCTACCTGTGCATGTACAGATACATGTATGAATCAAATCTGACCCCAAACCAATCTGAATTCTCTAAATCTGACCTGGCCCAAAAGGATTCCCTCCCTCCTATCCCCAAAGTGACTCGAGCAAATGTGCTTGAAACTATCATGGAAAAGAAATTGACATTAGCTGAAGATTGTCTCCTGCTCTATGCACTCACTTTGTACAACCATCATCACGTGTATCTGATGTGTTGGGCTTTTCAAAAATAATAACATGTACTATACAATATGTTTGGCTCGCATGCAAGTACGTGAGAAACATTACACCACGGTTTGTTGCCTGCAATTGGGTTGTCTCCTATTTCTGACATTATAAAAAAAAAAAAAATGAAATTTAAATAATGATTTCTTGGCTCCGTCTTGCAGCATTAATAATGCACCAGAGAGCGCGATATGAACGTCTCTCAAAAGAGCTGGAAGACGAGAGGAAAAGCCTGGCCTTCATGAGAGATGAGACCTCCCACATGGAGAACGAGGTCACCCTCAAACGGAAGAACCACCGGGCGCCCTTTCCAACGGTACGTTACCTCTCAAGCATTTTTGCGCTGTGGTTCAAGAGCTGAGCCCACCAATGTGTTTGGAACTTGTTCTTCAGGGACTAAGCAAGAGTTCATTCACCTGCCCGTCCATGTTTTGGGAAGACAAAGTTATAATTTATGGACGTTGACACTTTGCTAAAAAGACAGAAACAACCGACAGATTTTGACCCAGATTGTAAAAAAATTACCTTTTCTCCCCCAAGACCAGAAAACCACAGTTTTGTTGCGTTTGGTTCATCCTGAAGTCACTCTTTGGGTCACTTGGTAAACACCTCAAAGAAGCACAGCTGTGTCATGTTGTGCACTGCACCAACTGTCCCTCAGAGGAATATCAGATTGCACTTTGGTGCTGCCCAACAACTGTGCCTTGCTGTTTCCTGTGCATAATTGTGCAGTAAACCAAATGCAGTGAAGGGTCATTTTGTGCTGGCAACCAACTGTGTACACACTGAACCTGTGCATGTTTGGGTTTAATATACACTCGTGCATATTTGTGCTGTAAAACCAAAGGAGGGTTCATCTGTGTAGATTGCAACCTGAGTATTGTGCATTCCACATGTCAGCAAAGCATTTGTCCACACAGATGAAAAATAACATATGGGTCATTCCATGAAGTTCGGGCACAGTTTGTGACGGCATCCCTTGTTACATCGGTAACTTTTATTGCCCTTTATTTTCACATTACGACAGATTAAGTCATGTTATTCGGCAAAGGTGAAGCACACCACTACAAGAACCTAGCAAGATTTAGAACAATGTCAATTTAGACCCCACATGCAGGGAAAAAAGATGTTTATTTTCAGTGATGTAACAAGGGACGCCGTCACAAACTGTGCCCGAACTTCGTGGAATGACCCACATAGAAAGTCCTATTGTAGAAATTCATGGACCACATGGTTCCCGCAGCATGCTGTGGCACAGGTGTGTTTAAATGAATTGATGCGGCATTTTGAGTTTTGTCCTTGGCTTCCAGTTGCCACAAATTCAGGAAAACTGGTCACAAAAAAAGAGATGTCAGCTTGAATTCAGTGTGGATCAAGCGGAATTTTAATTTTTAAAGCGTAGTTGTGACCACGCCAAATGTTCTTTGTTGCTGCCTCTGCACTACTAGGCTTTGTGGCGTGTGTAAACTGGGATTGTGTTGTCAGCATGTTTACTAAACAACATAAAATGTAAACATTGCTGCAAACTGCTTGCTGGTTACAAGTGACCTAAAATATTCAAATTGAAAAGATGAGAGAGCTTGGCTTTCCATCCCTGCCGAGTCTTCCCTTTGCCTTTGAGAAAGCTTTGGCTTGGATCAAAAACCAGGCCCTCAAACATTTTGGCGCACTCCCTAACTTAAGTCAGAGGTTGATGGCAACTACCGGACGTGTGTTTTACAAAAGTATTACAGTGTAGTCTGACTTCCAACATGTATTTTTCTCTCAGCCGGAGGAAATTGGCAAGCTACGAGAGCAGAAACATCAGCTGCAGATTGACATTGAGTGCATGACGCGAGAGATAGAATCCTACAAAAGCCAAGGTGAGGGTTTTTGAATTGCCTCTGTGGCAGAGTTGAGTGGTATGCTAGGTTGAGTTGAGGTAGGCTGACTGACAGCAGGATTTGGATTGGAAATTGAAACACGGATTGGTTTGTCACAGTTTATTGCAAGCTGGTCTAGGGCAAGGGAAACCATCTGTTATCATTTACAAGGGTTACGTTCGTTAAGTGATACGTCTAGGAGCCCTATACTTGATCATTCTACAATTTGAAAATCCCGGGAACATAATTTTTTTGGAGACTTGAAGCTTTGCACAGGGTTTGGCCAATGGTTTGATGAATATTCTACTTATGTCTTTCAGGTTTAATGGACGTCGCCAAAGCAACAAGTTTCTATGGCAACATTGGGTCGACCGGCGCACCTGGGCCAGTGCCACCGATCGTATCCCAAAGCAATGCCATCCCTGAGAGTAAGATATCTGTTGAGAATTATGCTATATTTGCCACACGCACTGGTTGCATTATTTGCTTGGGTCATTTGACCTTCAACACAAAAGAGGGCATTCTAACCGAACAAGCATGCATGAAGGATGCTTTTAATGGATCCTGAGTGCCGTTTACAGTTGAGAGTATATCTGTTTACGGACTTATCCAAAGAGACTACTGCCACACTGACTCACATGTCACAAGAACTCTGAAACTCGTGGCGGGCACCATTTTTATACATCGCAACACGCTGTCTACTCTGACAAGAAGTAACCCCATCTCCGCGGGGAGTTTTTTGGCCTGGCTCGCGCACATGCAAAGACTGCACATTCCAACTGCAATTGGTTGCACGTGCGCAGGATGGCAGCATAAAAGCATGCCATCTCACGATCCTGCTTTGAGCATATTCGTCGAGGTGTTCAATGTGTGCTTACTTGTACTGTGCACAGAACACATAGGGGAGTTTTCATATTGACCAGTCAGTTCATGTGACTATTCAGGCACTAACTCAACGGATTGGGATTTTCTGAACAAACTGGTGCTTGAATAAAAGATCTAGTTTGAGTGTAATTTTTTTTTTCCCCCAGATATCACTCAAATAGATACAGAGGTTCCTCCACCTCCTTATGAATCCTTGATGTGGAGTTGCTCTGCGTGTACCCTGCTGAACCACCCAGACCTGGACAAGTGTGAATGCTGCGAGATGCCACGGGACAAATAGAGCACCCAAGGGGGGCCCTGGACGGGCAACCTGCCCTCGTGGCAGCAACCTCAGTGGGAGATCATGCCCGGATGTCCCTGTCTGCTGCGATTGGCCAAAGTTGGATTCAACACGGGTAGGTACCGTGCGGGCATTATGTGTTGGCCCCATGAAGTCACGACAGCAGGTAGCTGTCCCCAGGCGTTGGTTGATCTTGGACTGTGTGTGTAGCTCTTGGCTGTCTCATCGTGATGCTGTGGAAGATCCTCAAGTGACAACATTCTGGACCAAGTTTGATGAGCGACCAACTCTCAACCACTAATCGATTCTGCCCGGTAACCTATGTATGAAATGCATTGTGAATACCAGGCAAAATTAGCAAGTGGTTGACAGATGGTCGCTTAATCAAACTTGGCTCATGATGATCGAAAAAGGATAAAAGAGACATCAACAAAAGCTGAGGTAGAGAGCACTTTTGAAATAGAAGCCGGAATTCGTGGTAACCAGTGAAGTACCGGCAGTGTCTTGTTCCCAGGAGTCCATAATCACTTTCTTATAGTGCTGGAGTAGCTCCTATTGATAACCAGTCTCTCACCAAGTTCGAGACAGCATGTGTACACTGTACGTGTGTCATGTATTGGCATAGCACCTGCGCTTCCTGTACACAAACTCCATTTGCAAACACCTTGTGGTCTGGTTCCTTTAGAGGAATGGCACGTACAGAGCAACGAACACAGTAGAACCCTCCATGTGGGGCTGTTAGACTGCATCAGTGATTTTTACATCAGTCTATTAACATCAGTACCACCACAAGCCTGGCAGTCAGCTGTTTTTCCTGACGTCTTTACCTTCCAATTTAGAAATATTTGGGGAAGAGAAATGGTGCAAGCTTAATTTTCTTTGAGTTAAAGGTACGTGTACAGGAATATGTATTACGTGACGTTTGAGACAGCACGTTGTAAGCGTCTTTAAGAAGCAGTTGGCTCACAATCACTTCATATGCTGTGTTGGTCTTGTAATGTGTTCCAGTTCAGTAAATTTTGTGAGATATCGGTCCTTTTGTGTGTTGTTGTTTTTTTTTCTGTGAAATTCCACCCTTGCCCTCTGCCCTTCCATCACGCAGGAAAGCCAATACTGGGTCAGTAAATTCTAGCTAAGGGCTCGGCAAAATGTACACACCTAGGCAAGCCTCCAGGAAGTGGCTGCCGGGGCCTCCTGGGAATGGAAACACATGCTGTTGCCAGATTTTTGTTCTCCGTGCATCTTGAATAATCTCTCGCCAAAAATTACTGTTCAAAATGGCATCCAGTCATTTGGAATTGAAGCTCCGATGCTCAGAAAGACAAGAACCTGTGTTTTACAGTCTTGAAATTGCCCATGATTAGCAAAACAAGGTTGATGAAGAATTATGCCTAACCAGACATGTTTTCTCAGTGGAGTCTTTCTAATGACTTTGAATTTACAAAAGGACACAGTTTATTCAGAATAAAGAGTCAGCACATTCAGTTATTTATACCGCCAGTGTTGATTTCCTTTCAGGGTGATATTCTTGCAGTCAAGATCCTACTTTTAGTATAATCAAGTACTGTTTCTGATATCGTTATGATGTAATTTTAATAGTCTCCCCACAAGCCACTCTACGAGGTAACAATTTACCCGGTAATAATGTTCAGGCTACCAATTGGCCCAACGGTCTTTTGCGGGTGGTTTAACATTTCTGTTGACAATTTTGTCTGACTTTGGAAAGAGCCTTTTTTCTTCCAATTGAACATAAACTTTTACGCGAAGCTTTTCCTATTTTACAGAAGTATGCTTTGTAAACAACGGTAAATAATTTCGTTTGAAATTTAAATGTAAAAATAACTATCAAGTTGCCTGGGTCCAATTTCGTGGCAGTGCTTAGCATGCGATTTCATGCTTACAGAGGCTCCGCTTTTTTCATGGAGACCGTAAGCAATGAGCACAGCCAAAGGCATGTTAACCTTGGAGGAAAGATTTGCTTAAACTTGGTGATGTAACAATTGAATTCTCTAAACGCACGTAACCACTAGCACAACCATGCCAAGTACCACCGTGAAATAGTGCTGAAGGCTTTCTGATAACTGTTAAGCGGCTCCGTGAAATTGGGCCGTGAGCCTTACATCCAGTTTAAAATGCTCTGTGATTCAAATGATGTGACAGGTCACTTGTTCAGCCTAATAATATATTGTAAAATGCTCTTTTGACCAGCGGAAGCCCAGTATTCTGAAATGTAATTTGAGAAATTGAGTCACTGAACTGCCAGAGAATTCGGCAACCAACGCTCAGTAGATAAGACATATGGGAACCGGGTCTAATGAAGCTGCACGGAAGTTTTGTAGTAGAACAAGTTGCAGTAGTAGATGCTGCGATGGCCATTCACATATTCTTTGCTAGAAAAAAATGAAGGGTACGTATATACATTCAAATTGAAGTTAGAGTAGGTCTTTTTCCGACTGGTTTTTCCTCGTCTGTCTAAGCTCTGCATGCCCTTTTGCAGTAGTCCATCGCTTCACCAGTATCTCAAATAAGTTCATGCATTTCAGTTTTTGTTCATACCTGTACGAAGAAACTTAAGTGAAAGAAGCAGCAGCAGCCCTTTAAAGTTGTGTTTTGGGAGGAGTCATGTTCGTGTATGTGCTGCCTCACTACGTCAGCTGAACGTATCAGTTGTTTCGAAGGTTGGCCTCTTTGATAGCTTGGCTTTTGCTGTTCTGGAAGCATACGGCAATACACTGTCATTTCAGAAGATGTTAATTGGGCACAAGACGTTTGATCATACCTCTTTCCTACTACATGTGTAGGGCTAATTCCAGAAATTAGGGGTCCAAAATTGTGACATGTTAGTGTTCCCTGTTAATCTGACCTTTGTTATTTGACATGGAAACATCATCGGAGTTGATCTCAAACTACATGTATTAGTATTTCTTTGGCCGGTAATTTGCATTAATTCATCACTCTTGGAAATTAGAAAATGTGTTCTGAACTTACAAAATCATATGTCAGATGTGATAGGGACGTGAAAAAATGGACCCCTAATTTCTGGAATTGCCCATAAGCAAACACTTTGTGACACTAGTGCTGGATGTGTTTGCAAGTTTAATCAGGTCTGAGGATGTGATTTGTTGCCTCACTTGAAGCTCACCATGGAAGTAATTAACCCTAACCATCCTCAGTCCTTCAAAATTCTTAGGGCGGTTTTGGAGGATTTTTGGAGGATTGAGGCTGCATGGCAAAATCGCATTGCTGATTGCGAAGGATGCATTGTCTCAAGGTTGTGGGTTAGACGTTGTGTTGTTCATGTTCAGCCATGCAGCAATTCATGCCCACAAAATATGTGACATCCTCCAAACTGCTCCAGGATACCGTTCACACTGCCTCAACACAATGAGAGGAATTGCCGAAGGATTTTGGAGGACTGAGGCCATATTCATTTTTGTCTCGGGGTTAGTTGGAGGATTTTGAAGGATTGAGGGTGTATCCTAGCCAAAAGGGCCTAGGCGGTTAGGGTTAAGGCAGCCAGGGGTTTTCAGAGAGACCAAGGTTGGGTTTAAAGGTTGGAGTGCATTAAAATAGCCGAGTGCAATGCCTCTGATCTAGACTTTCAAATAGAGTGAAATGGGGGAATGGCGTTTGCTGTGACTTCTGGGAACAAGACCAGTATGGAACAAGACCAGTATGGCCTGAGGTGGACAAAGTTTGAATAGACAATATTGAAATACATGTAAATGTTGATAGGTTTCACATATAGGTTTCACTGTGCCTGAAGCAGTTTTTTCGAAAGTAGATTTTCCTGCTTTCAAGTTGAAGTGTTAGAAAATTTAAAACTGTGACTTCAAACAAGACAACAGTATGCAATTGTACAAATTGATGTTTGAAATATTGTACTTTACCAATAAGTTCAATGTTTATTAAGACCTTAAATGCGCATGTGTACATAAGCCAAAAATCTCCTACATTGGTTATTTATAGTTTATTAAAAATCTTTTTGGGTTATTTTAAACTGTAATCTTTTCAACTCAATATCAGTGTGGTCATTTTGTTTTTGAATTTTGAAATTTATTTTTGTGGATGATGAAAAAACAGGCAGATATTTGTATAGAGTCATCATGGCTCAAAAAGATTGGCATATCCAGTTTAACCCCTTCGCCTCTGGACGCAGCTGGAGCCGCTGTAAAAATTGAGATTCTCAGCCCGCATTTCAGCTTTTATTCTCAGTCCACGCTCGAGCGAACACGGTGAAAGAAGGCAGACCCTGGCTCTTGTATATATGGTAATTGGTCTTTGTGC